CATAAATCAGTTTTTTCGATCTGCTTTCGTGTATTTTCCGTTCTTAATCTTAAATTTGCTTTACCTGGTGCTCTCGCCGACGCTACAATTGCTTTGTATACAGACGAACACCTCTCTATTACCAATCACCGACAGTTCTGATAATCCAAACGATAGAGCGGTTTTCACTCGACTGTCGTAAAACCAAAACCAAAGTAAATACACTAGCCAACCAAAGGGCGTAGTAAAACCAAAACCAAACCAATTCCTCAATTACTTTCGACAGTCAAGTGAAAACCGCTCTAACAAACTCAGTACAATTAATAGCCCTATAACACGAACACCCCTGCTAAACGGGTACTACAGCTCTGTAATTTCCCTGTCTATCAGGCCCTAGTTGTTGAAAAGCTCGATAGCGCTATCCACCGGAAAAACTACTACCCAGTGGATAAGTATTAGGGAAACCAATTACGCTGATTTATCCAGTGGATAGCGTTATCCACCTGGCCCGGGTTGTTCAAACGTTGCATAGCGCTATCCATTGGGTAAGTCACTATCTAGTGGATAAGTATTAGGGAAACCAATTGCACTATCCACTGAACAGCGATTTATCCGATAGATAGCTCTATCCACCTATGGAACAACTTGGGCCTGGTCAGTGAGTCTGTTTGAGGCCCCATTTACATGGAGAAAAGTTGTTCTGGGTAGAGGGGTCACTCCCCTACCCAAGCTACCCTAGGTGAGCCAACATTTCATACACTTCCTTGCAAAACGTGGCAAAGCAATTACATGAAAAACACAACTTGGTCAAATATTTTGTAGTTCGTCTGGTTATGCGCGTCTCTGGAATATAGACAGGCACAATATGCATTATGCCTCCAGACGAACTACCTTTCGTAGTGCGCCGTTCAAGACGTATTTCGAAGGAAAGTTTGTCCAGACGTATAACCAGACGAAATGCGAATGTTTGCCCAAGTTCGTCTAGATAGATAATGCGTCCTTAGTACAGTAAAAACGGCCAATGTTGGCTCGGCTAAAATGGTAACCCGCCTTAAGCTGGGTCACCTTTTTGTGATGGAAGGGTCACCCTCCTAGCCAGGCCAACCTTTCTCCATAAATGCTTTGGCTCGTCCTGCAGAGTCTGCTCGGTCATAGCGAGACAACAAGAGTATGCGCGAGCGATGTTGACTCGGACAAAGGTTATGGAAAAGGGGCAGTTATAGAGCGTTTTCAGTCACGCGGCCAGCGGCTATGAAAATTTATTGGAACAAAAGAAAGCGTTTGCATAAGAAAGAGTTCAACTACCACAGGATTGGTTTAGGACACCAGCATGGCCGCCGTTTCATAGTTTTGAGAGGCCAAAATTAGACTACGTTTCCCTCGCTCTACTGTACTATCCCTGAGGAAAAATGGGGACTACTCGCAGTCTACACCAATATAGCCTCCGTGACCTCATGTGAAAGCACTCGCTGAAGTTAAGTTGACTGGTCTTGGTGGTTGGCTCTTTTATCCGGGGAAACTTTTCTCCATATAACGTGGCCGGAGGTTTGACTGTCAGTACCATAAAATTGAAACTTTAGAAAAAGAACATTCAGTTCTGGAAGCTCTTACGTTTCAACTTTTTAACTGCAACTGTTGTCTCGCCAGCAACCCCCTTCAATCCACTGACAACAGCTTTCCATACTTCACCGAAAGAACCACTTCCGAGAGTGTGTTGTAAGTCGACTTGTTTTGACGCCACTTCCCAACATGTAGCTGAGACTGAAAGGCATCTGGGATCACACTCACCGTCACAATCTTCACTGAAAACAAAAAATTATAAGCAAAAAAAGAAGAGAGACCTTAGATTCGAGGACGAGGACGGTCGACCAAGAGGAGGAGATTTGACTTAAAGTTAGTTTTCCGTTCGCCGTTTTCATCCAAAAAAAGTATCAACCTCAAAAGCTTAATTTTACTTTTTTCACCAGGAAATTCACCAGCGTTATTTTACGAGGTTAAGCCCTTTCCCAAGTGCAAAATGATAAAGTTTCTAACATTTGATGACTTGTTAATTTCCGTCACTATACGACATTTTCGCTAAAGCACGTAGTAAGACGGACGACGGCTATCATAATTTCCAGCCAAACTCGGCACACGACTTGAATAGTATTTAGAAAATCTCGTATTTCTCGTATTTGTCTGCGTCTTCGAATCTTTAGGGTCTCTGTTGTCAACAAGTTTTAGCAATAATTTACCCTGAATTTGAACGGTTTCTAAAAAATATAAATCCAGTAAGGATCTCAGATCATCAAAAGCAAAGTGCTGTGCAATAATTTGCTTCTGCGCGGTTGTAAGTGGCTCAGTTTGTCACGGCTTTGTCAGGAAACAGGCGAGGTGCCTAGATCATTTTTGGTACTAAGTGAGAGTTCAAAAGAGCGCTAATGGTCATGAAGATGGCAAGAGTGATGCGCTCCATTATTAGTAATGTACCATGCTTTAATGATGGTTGATGTCATAATGATATAGATGTGAATTTTAGTTCTACTAAATTTTTAAGTTATGACCTTCTTTAATTTTGTTAGTTAAAAATATTACCTTTCAAGATTTCTTTCCATTCTTTGCAAAAATTCATTTCTTTGTGCTGGAAAATAAATAAGCAATCCAAAACTATAAATTAATTGAATTTTTCATAAGATTAAAGACATGAACGTACCTAAAAATCACTCGTGCAACACTTCGTAAATAAAAGCCTTAAAATGTACTTTTAACGGGGAATTATTAATCAATGTACTGCGGTCATTAACCACAAATAGGAATACCAAATTAGGAAGAAGCTAGTATGATGAGAAAATATCGTGTACATTTTTTTAAAAGTTTTAGACAGGGGCCTCTGAAGCCCCCAACACTCGGTCTTAATAGTGCCATTTTGTAGTGTTTAAAATCACATACCTACAAAACGCCTTCTTTGATAAACTAAGCAAATCCCAGTAACCAGGAATAGAAGGGCAGACAGAACACTCACAGACGCCACTAATGCTGTGCCGTTGCTGCCGGTTGATGTAAAAGATTGTGTCTTCGGAGGCTTTGCTAATTATGCATACAAAAAGAAAAAAATTTATATCAACTACAGTTTCATTGTCAGTTCTACGCTGTACGGTGAATAGTCAAGGGAACAGGGAGCTTAAGCAAATATAACCTGCGAGCAAGCTCCCTTGGAGTTCTCCTGGGGAGCTTCCCTGCCCCCGGCTGTACTCCCGGGAGCCCCAGCAGAGCTTGCTCGCAGGCTAAAGCAAATAGTTACGTTTTAAGCCGCGCACACCAACCGAAAGTGGGCTTTTTGCATCCTTGGGCAGTTATTTTGCGGCAAATTTTCGGGTAAATAGTCTCTTTTATTTAAGAAAACGGGACAAAGCAACACAAATTCGGTGGCGTCAACGCATATTTCTTCCGGTTGACGCACGTCGCTCAAAAACGCCTTCCCGATTGAGCTCCCTAGTAACGACGTTTTTGAGCGACGCACGTCAACCGGAAGTGGACTTGAACAACGTTTTGGCAAAACCGCTCACTTGCGGTTGACATGCGTCGCTCAAAAACGTTGCTGCTTAAACTCCCTATTATTACCTGGCCACGCCTAGTCAGGAAATTTCTCTTCGAGGGTCGGAAAATATCTCATGAGAGAGCACAGCAAACGCGTATGTGTAATATTTTTTTCAACGCGAAAAGAGAAATTTAGTATCCCTAAGCGGCCATGCAATGTTCTATTCTTGTTATAGACCACTCGGCGGACTCGTTTAAACACCTGACCTGCCGAGTGCGAGTTTTTGTACAGTTTGCGCGGTAAAAGCTTAGAGCCTAGTTACCCGCCTTTGATGAAATAAGCCATTCCAATGCTGTCACCGACAAAAAAAAAGTTGTACGGACTCGTGTAAACAGTACTGTAATAATATATAGATTTAGCCAGGGCTAAAAGCGAAGCTCCTATTAACTCGAATTTATAATTCAAATCAAACAATAAACTTGTATTCCACAAATCAGTTAACTTTAGAGCACATTCATGTGACTTTTGAGGGAAAGACTTCGTGATTTTCGAGAAAAATAATTTGCAAACAGTCCAAGCTAAGAGTGAACTTCATCTTACATCGAGTTGATAGCCTTTATATGTACACCCAAAAAATAGCAATCATCTTCGATCACATTTAAGAGCCATAATGGCTCTTGATCACAGTAGATTAGGCCTGGAAAACACCTGCGCCGTTTTCATCATACAGACCTCGGACAGAATGCAGTGTTTCACAATTTTGCAATACAAATTGCACTCATTCAATATTCAGGACGATCAAAGCACGTGTGGGCTTTTAGCGAAATCGTCAAAAAAATTTCCAAAATCACCTATACGGCTAGCCAGTTCTCACTTTTGACAAGTCGACTGTTTAAATTAAGATTAATATAGTTATACGCTTCAACACAATAAAGAATTTATTATAAAGATCTGTAATCTTCAAAAGCGTTTGATACGCGCGGCATTTTGACTACTCTTGCAAGCGATGTTCATGAGCGACTGAAAACAAACGGCACAGCGATTAAAATTGCAAAAGAGACTACTTACAATCAATAAAGAAAGGGAAAATAATTCGGTGAAACATATACAGAGACAACAATTTTCATTCACGAAGACAAGTATTACACATGTAAAGTGTCTCTGAAAATCCTTGTTTACGTTTTAAGCCGGCTTCCCGGTGTTTGCTTTTTTCAAAGACGAACTCGAGGCAAGAAAATCGCTCAAAGCTTTCTTTTACAGCCAGAATTGTAACCAAATATTCTTTGGAACGTTTTCTTTCTATTTGCGGTGAGAAAATGTCTAAAGGCTTTTTAAAGTTCCATAAGCTGATAATCAAACCTGATACTCGGTCACTCTCGGTCAGATCATTGTCTCAAATCTTACAAACGTGCATAAACCAAATAGCCGCGTAAACTACGCTCGACTTCATTAAATTAGATATAAAAAACAAACAAATACAATAATTACTCAGGCTTACCTTTTGAGATGCACTGAAAACTATCAAGTAAGGCCAGAACCGCTTCAGACTTTTCAACCGTCTTACGCATCAAGCAAGGTGAAAAACGAAAACGATGCCATCCGAATCGGATTTCCGACTTTGCCAAAGCGACGTATTTCTCAACCAAAAACCCAATAAACAAACTAGCCATGAATAACAGAAGACTCTTGATAGCAGCTGAATTTCACTTTGTACATTTAGTGGAAAAAGACAGTTAAAAACATCACAAAGTTGACACAAAACTCTGTCAGCTTCAGCTGTCAAAGTAAACAAGTTTCAAGATGCTGCATAAATTTTCCGCGTGAACTCACCTGTCAAATTTTGACCAATCAGAGTATAAAAATTGGACGTAGAGCGTGACCAACGCGTGACCTTGGTGAGAAAAGTCAAAAGCAACTAGCATGTCCTCCCTGCCTATAAAAACTGGCTTAATTCTTAGCTTCCGAGGTCAGTTTGAAATCAAAATTTTAATTGTGCGGCACATATAAAACACAACATAATTCATATGAATTGAAAAATTAAACTTGAGCCTGCAATCATTTGAAAACTAGTAACTTGTCAGCGGATAACTTTAAAAAGATACTCGACCTCGATGGGTCGACACCTGAGCCCGCGATATGATCAGGTGATACTGGTCAGCGGATACCCTGTTTTGACAGCTGTCAATTGATCACAAGATTGATGTGCAATATGTCTGCAATATCAGTCTTCCTGTGCTCCCAAACTAGAAAGTGTGATTGAACATTGGTTGCCCTGTGGTGCGGACGGAAGGGCGGGCTGAGGGCGGTGTACGGTCACGTGATTACCAAATTTTCTGGGATGGGTAGATTTACTTACCCATGGTGCTCCGCAGGCGCGCCAGAGCTCCGCTATAATTTGCACGGTTCCGTGTAAAGGAGTTGCACAAAAAAATTCGTCCGTTCAATAACGTTTCCTTACCCGTCTAAACGTGGTCTGAGGATTTGTTTGCACTATATTGGATAGCTCAGTTTCGTGCCGAAACAAAGCCAGCTATAGGTGAGAGACATGAAAACAATAATAATGATAACAACCACCACAACTAAAATAATATTAATAATTATAATAATAATAAGAAGAAGAAGAAGAAGAATGATGATCATGATCATGATGATGATGATAATTACCTCTGACTCTTAAGGTATAATAGGCCTTGACGGGTTGTAAGGAATTTAAAATTTCAGCTTGACAAATATATGTTCCTGTTTGATGGAGGGAAACCTTATTGATTTTGTGGCGAAGATGGTATTCCCGAGGTTTAAAATCATCGGCGGTTGGTGGAAACGTTTTATTTTCGAGGACAATGTCTCCGGCATGTTTTATCCACTGAGCAAAAATGGGCTTGCTCGTTTCCTTAACTTTACAATCTAGGTCCAGCGTTGCTCCAACATCATATGTGACGTTTGGTGTTTTGATGATGACTGTTGTTTTGGGTATTGTGCCCAAGGTCGTGTTAACTGTAACAAACATAAAGAGAGAATCAAATGGTAGACTTCAAAGGACTGTATAGTAGCTCAAGTCGTATTATTAGGCTGCCTGTGGCATGTCCAATTATAAAATGAGCTTTCTACGTCGAAAAAAGACAAAATGGCGGATGGATCACCCATAAGCCATTGCGTGTCTTAACGCACATTTGACTTTTGACGGGATTTTCCGATAAACAAGCAAAATGACAGACTTGGAACGAAAACTACATTCTTGGGTGAAGTTATTTCTCCCATAATAACACCCGAAAAACAACCGAGACCACATATCTTGATTCAGTACCATGCAATGGAGGCTAAGAGAAGGGATTTTTAGAGTTTAGTCCATTATCCTTATTCCGGAAGGGTCCAGATTCGAATTCGTCGCGGCAGCTGAATAGAAGCATTGAAGACCCATTTATACAGGGTTAGCCTCGACCTAAGGTAAATATATTGACAACTTTCAGTCAGAAGAAGACCTGTGTCCAACTGTGTCTATTGTTTTAAACTCAAATTCAGGGACCTTCTCGTTGACCGACAATGCGCGCAAGCAACTGTTATAAGGTTAATTGGCGAGTTTTGACGTCCCTACCATCTTTGATTATACAGAAAATTTAATTATTTTATTGTCAATAATAGTACAGATAGATTAGATGTTAATTTATGCGATAGCCGTAAATGTCTTAATTTCTCTTAGATGATACACTTTCTGACTGGAAACTCTCAAAAAAACTTGTATTCTTTTCAGAAAAGGCGTAGCACAGGAAACTTGAAAGCCGGTTCAAACAACTCTTCAACCCATTCTTCTGTGAACCGCCCGTAACCGCCCGTAAGAATCCAACTCCCTTCTACCACTTGTGACCTGATCAGTTTTAAGGTTCAAGGACAACTTTTTCAGCTAACTCGTAGGGGGTGAAGAGATCTTTTAAACCATACCAGAATGAGCATGATCTGGTCAAGCAGGCAGGAGAAAAAGGCAAGAAACCATGCAACATTGACCCAAAAATTGTCATAAAAATCTTGTTCCACGACCGGCCTACCTTTCCTTTCATCTAATCCTAAGATCCTAAAAGCTTTCCCAAAAACGTTCCCACCGAAATGAAGCCTATTGACGCCCAGCAAAAGAAACAAATAACGAGGGGAGAAAAGTGAAAAAGAAGGGAGGAGAGAAAGCGAAATTTTGCCTTCTACGCATGCCTGAAGATAATATTTAGCATTTGAATAATGCATGACTTCTAGCCCTTTATAGCTAGACAGTGACCAGAATACGACTCTACTAGATTCACTAAACGCGATTTTCGGCGAAATTCCCAGTAACGAATGGGTTAAGCAAAGTACCAAGTATTTTTTTACGAAAATCCACTTTTGAGGATAAAACAATTAAATCTGGCCATAAAATGTCAATTGGGGTGAAAAAATCAGCAAAAGACGATTTTTAGGTTTTTCGATTAAGAAAAGTACCAAGTTTTTTGAGAAAATTCACTTTTGAGCATAAAACAACTCAATCTGGCCATAAAATGCCAATCTGGGTGAAAAAATCGGCAGAAGACGATTTTAAGGTTTTTCGAATAGGTTACAAAGGGGTTGGGACTGTTTTAGGTAAATGCCCACCCTTTGTATGCCTGGGGGTCGAAAATATTTAATTGTAGTGTTGAAATATGTTTTCAAGACAGACCTTCAATCACTGTTATATTATTAGTAGAAAGCTGCTGTTCTGTTCAATCAGAAGTCTTAATTAATTGTTGTTAGTGTTTACAAGATGTGACTTATATAACAAAAGTGCATCGAAAATAACAATAACATAAAATGCGTTGTTCTTCGCAATGACAAGAGGTATCCGGCTAATATTAGATCCCGATTTTAATTTTTTTTAATTAAAACTTGACGCTTAAAATTTCATCAGTTTGAAAATAAGGCGTTAGAAAATTAGGGGTATGCCGTGCAAAGACTGAAAAAACTTCGAAAATCCAAATGACTTACTATTGAGCAGCTGCTATTCTGGTGCGGTATTTTTGACATTTTGAAAAAATCTTGTTATAATAATAATTAAGAAAAACACAAAGGAAATCAATGTTTAATGACCGTCTTTAAATCTGATAAAACTAGGCTTTACATTTAGTTTCAAATTATAAAAGGTTGTAAGACACCCAAAAATAACAAAAATGGCAAACAATGAGAAAGAATATTTAGAAAGAAAAGAAATGGAAGAGAGTGACATTTCACCGCACAAATGTTGTTGGCGATTCCAAGCCATCTAAGTCTTTTAACTAACAGCTGAGCGATCTATCAGATACAATTTGTTTTTCGTAAGAAAAATCACCTGACACACACATATAAGAGTTAAAGAACCCAATCTAAGCCCATCTGATCTGCTCACAGAGACCTTCTATTTCCTCTTAGAAGGCGGCATCGGGTGCTCGAACGAAATTAGAAACCGATTGACTATTTATTGACAGCTCGAGAAAGGAGGTGTGGCTTTTTCATTTCGTTTACCTCAGGAAAGGCACTGTGTAGCTAGAAAATCTTATATCTTTTTGTTATTTTGCAATTTTCACTGCCAGCGTATGGCATACTTTAGCTATGATACCCTTGTCTCATCAAGATTTTTTTCGAACTGAGTGATTGACCTTAAGGCCGAATTAACATATATCAGAAAAAGCTTTATTGAGTTTTCGCATATTAAGGGAATAAAATTGTACTATACTTACCTTCTTTGCCCAGACATAGCGATTTTTTGAAAGACCAGATTACAATGAACAAAAATCCGTAAGCAAGCATTGGAGGAGAAACGGAATGGCCTAAAGCCATCTCTTTTCCAACGCCAGTTCAGTAATCAAGCTTGTTCAACGTTTCTGCCTGCATTAGCTTGATGCATTGTCTGATACTTTTTTGATAGTCCTTGGAGGTATAAGCTTTTAAATAATGTGATGCAAATAAAGCAAAAAATTAATTTGTCTCTGTTAAGTAAACTGTGTTACGACGGCTTTAAAAGGTACACAATGCTTAATCTAATATTTATCAACTGCGAGACCCGAATTTTTTTTTTTTTTCAAGATAACATTCCCGGCTTTTTGTTAAAATTTGTTTCCCCAGAAAACAACGGCTAGATTTTCAGCCGTAGACTTTTAAGACACTTGTCAAATTTTAATTTTTCAAGAATTATTAATGCGTTGTTATTTTATTATTATTTTTTTAATGTACGTGTTATTTGTCTAGGTCGAGAGTTAATTTGACATAGAGGACGAATTCATCATATTGTTCTGACAATCTCATTTCCTACCCAAAACAAACGCTCTCGAAAGCTTAAAAGTATTTTTTTTTACTCTTTCCTCCTTTTTTTTTTTTTTCAGAAAAGACCCTTGCCCTCGCTTAAGCTAGATCATATTAAAATACAAGATAAGATTATAAGTGGTCGTCCAGCATTAAAGGAAGCTTAAGCACCAACGTCGGCCACGGCTACGAAAACGTTACTTAAAAAGCAAGTGAGTTCGCGCTGCCTCAAACTTTATCACGCTTATTCTATCTCGTTTAATTTCACAAATGTTGGCACTTTTTTGGGGTTGAATTCAAAGGACTGTATCAGAGTTCAGGAAAAGAAAAAGGAAGTTGTTGTCGTGTGTTCGACAAAATGTGAAATTAGGCATTTTCACGTTGTAGTAGTGCAACGACGGCAAAGAAATGTACATAAAGGCGTGATGCACGTGCAAAGATGTTGTTTCGCTATTATAAACCTATTGTCTTTTTGCCGTTCTCGTTGTCGTCGTCATCGTCGTTGCTTAAGCTCTTCACAAACTGACACGTGAACACATTTTAAAGCGACCAAATAACATTGGATCCGTGTCGTAAATTGTATTCTGCGAAATATTCAAAGGACAGTTCTGAAAATGTACAAAGATGGCTTACTAATGCTCTGGTTGGCTAGTGTATATTACCTGTTCTATGTTATGGTATTTGATTCAGTCAAGCTGTCCTATTTTTCTTAAATTGGACAGTTTGTCGATTTAAGGTAGTCTTATCTTAAACCATCCAAATCAATTAAATTAATTAACCATCCCCTTCACGGTTTTCTCAACTTTTGATATAAACCAGTCGGGGAAAAATCCGTCAACACCACTGGAAAGAGTGGCTTAAAATTTGTAAAACTGCCAGATTTGAAAGTTTGGTTTTGGGGGCATTTTTTTCTTGAATGTCCACTATATTCTGCCTCTAGAACTAATCTGCTCTCCTCTGCTGTTCGCATATTTGCTGACAGGTGGTCATCTATGTCTAAAGCACAAATCATATCATTTTTTTCTGTTTGGATCACCGTTACTGTCTCCAGAGAAAAATAGTGATGTATTTTTTTTCAGGTCCAATCTTTTATATAAGATAAGATAAGATGCTTTATTATTCATTCAAAATATTTGCCCGATTCTGATTGGCACACGTTTAATTCACCATAACCGGTTACTGATGACCAAATTTGGAAGAATTTTGACTTTAACGAGGAAATGACGTCAAAAATGCAGCGTTTTCGCAGGTTAAGGCACCGTTAACCGAGAAGACCTGGGGAGGAGGTTGAGTTGTTTTGGTTGTGAACTTGAAAAAATGGCGGACATTTCACTCGTTTCAAGAGTAAGAACTAGGCGAAAAAATAGCTAAAAACATGGCAAGAACAGCAAAAAGACAACTCGAAGGGCGACATCTGCTATTTGGAGAATATTTGCGGAGCTGGACAAACCTAAACGTACACTAGCGAAGATGAACTGAACATCGATGGATCGATGGAGGTAAACATGGTTTAGCTATATTTTTAAACTAGGAATTATTTTGAATGAATAATAAAACAGTTATTGAATTCGGCTTTCGTATCATATGAAGAATTATGGAGATCTCGGAAGGTGTTATCCGCCTCGGCCTACGGCCTCGACGGATAACACCCTCCTCGATCTCCATAATTCTTCATAAGATACTCAGCCTCATTCATTAACTGTTAATTATTTTAAGTGGCGAATACTCTTAGCTACATGGGTTCGTTAAAAAAGAAAACTTCACCAGTTAATTCACAGGCATGGCCACTGTAAATGAAAAATTAAAGAAGTAAAAATAATTAAAACACTATAAAAACTATTTACAATTAAAGTTAAGTTATGATACATAAAATACTATTAAAAATTATTTACAAAATTGATGAAAAAGGCGATTCGTTGATACTAAAGTAATGACTCGCTTTCTTTAAAATAGAGCGACGCTCTTACGACATCAGGCAAGTTGTTCGTGTTGTGTTGACCTTTGGCACTTTTAAAATGTCCTTTTCTCTCAACGCATATGTTGTTTGCTGTAATAAGATTTACTCATTCAAGTTCTCAGGGTTCATTTTATTATTTACGAGTCTAAAAACCGAACAGAGAATTTTACTCAATTAATCTCTGCTCAATCAGGGTTCTTCTACCCAAAAGCTGAAGCAATTCTTCATAGATAGTGTGTTGGTCTCTAAAAACAAACCGAACAGCTCTTTCATTTACTATGTTGTTTGTTGTAATAAGATTTACTCATTCAAGCTCTCCGGGTTCATTTTATTATTTACGAGTTTAAAAACCGAACAGAGAATTTTACTCAATTAATCTCTGCTTCATCAGGGTTCTTCTACCTAAAAGCTTAAGAAGTTCTTCAAATATAGTGTGCTGGTCTCTAAAAACAAACCGAACAGCTCTTTCATTTACTTTCTCCAGTTTTCCAGCCGAACTCTTATTGCTGGAAAGCCAGGTTTGTGGACAGCAATCGAAATGTGGTACAATAAATGACATGTAAATATTCTTATATCGAAAGGGAGTACATTTCTAATGCGCTTTAAAACTGCAACTTGTTGACATACTTTTCTACAGATATTAGCGACTTGCTTATCGAATTTCGACATATCACCAATAGTAAGTCCAAGCATATGTAGTGCATCGTGATTTGGAATGATGTTATTTTCGCAGCCAAATTCCGGATCAACTTTCAATCCATCACCATAGCCTGGTATTTAGAGTGGTTTCTTTTCGCGCAATTTTCCAAAAAACGTTTATCTACGTATGATAAGTCAGAGTTTATGGTTTCCTGGACTATCAAAGGATCCTTATCGGCAAAGAAAATCTTGGTGTCATCTGCATAAGTCGACTGAAATGTATAGGTTTCTACGTTTTATCACGTAAGCAAGATAGTTCATAACTATGTTGAATAGAACAGGGCCAAGTATGGATACTTGGGGAATTCTAGTCGTTGTATCCTGCCATGTAGAATAACGTTTCCAAGTTTCACCCGTTGCCTTCGATTAAAGAGATAGTCCTTTATAAGGTTAATAATTTTGTCGTAGACCTGACATTGTTTTAATTTCAGCACTATCAGACCATGCGGCAGAGTGTCAAAGGCTTTTGATAGATCCATTGACACTATGCCGATTACCTTATGAATGTCAAGGTCTTGTTTAGAATCTGAATCAAAGAGATTTTATAAAAGTACCTAAGTAATAAGTAATTTTGTTTATGTAATGTTATTCAAAGCGAGTCCTCTCGATGAGTGTTTTTTGTTTGTTTGTTTGTCTCTCTTAGGGCAAACTTAGTCAGTAAAATACGTTTGAACAAATAAAATCTAAAGTGATACGTCTTAAGCAGCGAAGATATAGCTCCGCAAAGTTCCGAAAATTTACAGACACCACCACCACCACCACTATACAAACGTCTGTAAATTTTTGCGACTTTGCAAAATTTGAGATGCTACTAGCTTTCGGTTAGTTTTCAACCGATCACTTTCAAACTCGGCATTTTTGCTAACTTTAAGGGCGCTCTTTCCAGTAGTGTTGATGGATTTTCCCTAATTTATCCATGTCAAAAATCGAAAAAAAAAACGTGGAAAGGACAATATAAGGACAATAGCTATGCTGATAATATCGGATTAACTACAAGCTGGAATAATTAATACTAAAATCAGCTTTATATTTTTCGACCATTAGTAATTGCTAAATGTTCTTCGTTTGTATTAATATGGTCTGATTCTCTGGAAGTGAGAATAACACATAATTGTGTAATGTCACAGTAAAACATTTGCATTAATCCACGATTGTGGACAATGTAACTGGAAAAACTAGGCGATCGCATTACACAGCAACAGTAAAAATTAAATTGCTTAATATCCTACTCATAATATTTGAAAATACCATTCCAGTGGCGGATGAAGACCTTCAGATAAGAGGAAAGGAGGGGGAGGGGGGGGGTGGGGGGGGGTTTCAGTTTGGTCTTAAAATAAAGGGGGCGGGACCCCGGGCCCCTCCCTGGATCCGTCACTGAAGTCCACCTGAAAGAGTTCCCTTTTCGCTTTGCTTTTGCCTGGATGTACCTCATCCCAGCAACTGTCTCTTCTCAAATTAAAATAAATTCGCATTTTTCTTTCTCGTCATACTCTTTTTGGGGAGTGTTTTGAGGAAGAGCCTGCTGCTGAGCTTATTGTGACTGTTATTGTCTAAGAATATACAGAGAATACTGATCTTTCTACTTCTTTCTACTCCCCTGCAGTCTGCTCTCTTTGTTTGAAAATCAGATCTGTATGACCCGTTGTTTACGTTAAAACGTTTTTTGCATCCCCTTCCGGTGCAGGCCGAGTCATCAAAGAAGCAATTTCCTCCACATTTTTGTACAGGCTTGGCTCGTATTTTTCCAGATCAAGATAATGCTGGGAAAAAAATGTACAAAATAGCTTAGTGTTTAGCTAAAATTGATATTGTCGGGTGTAGTATATTTCGAATATTTTTAGTTATTGCTTTCGAGCTCTTTATTTTAGTTCACGCTACAAAT